AACGCCCGGCTATTTTTTTGGTTGCAGCCATCATTGTTGTTTGGCGGGGCCGGGCTGGGGATTCGAACCCGCCACCTTAGGTGTACGTGGCTGGCGTCTTAGCCGGTTGAGCTATAGGCGCCGAGCCAGGTTGGTCAATTTTTAAAGACCACAACATTAGGCTGAAAACATATTGTGGGTTTTAAGTGGTAAGAGTCTTTTGGAGAGTCTGGTAATGTATTTTTCCCAGTTGTGTTTGGCAGAATTTCATGGTTTGATGTGGGTCTTTGTTGGGTGGTAGTTACAGTTATGGCTGTTCTTGGAGCTACTGGGGCAGGGGGGCTGCCCTGCTTGTCAGTAGGGAGTGGGGGGCAGGCCCAGGTGACCCTTGGTCCCAGGACTCAATCTGATAACTGTGTTCTGGACAAAGCTCAAGTTCCCTAATGCTGGGCATTTGAGTGTGGTAGAAAATAAGGAAGAAGCCAGATTTCCCTGTGAAATACTGAGAAGCCTGAATGTGAGGTCTTTGTCCTGGTAACTGAAGAATGGGAGGGGAGGTTAGCACCCATGATCTGGAACCCTGAGGTGGTAGGAGGACTGGACAGAGCATCATCAGATGTGGGAGTGGCTCCGTGAGCGGCTGGTCTATTGCAGGTCATCCCCATGGTCACTGAGCTGATTGGGAACAGCTGCCGCTACCAGCGAGGAGAGGTGGGTTGATGGATCCCAGAGCAGGGATGTGGGTCGGGCTTGGCTGGGCCGTAGTCCCTCCTGCCTAACCTAACAGATGTGAGGCCTGGCTTTGTCTGTGGTGGGTTGGTAGGGCTGCACTGTGACCTCCCTGCTCCCTGAACTAGCCTGGGCTGAGAGTCCCCTTGCTTGGGCTGGGGTCTGAGTCTTCAGTGTCCTGGCTGGGCCCTGTGACCATCCCTCCCCTCCACAGAACCTGGACTACTGCATCATGGTGATTGGGGTCCCTAACGTGGGCAAGTCCTCCCTTATCAACTCCCTCAGGAGGCAGCACCTCAGGAAAGGTACTGGCACCCTTGGCATGCTGAGGGCATCCTGGTCCTGGTGAGGACACCCTGGGTGTGGTAAGGTGGCTGTGGGCTTGGTGTGGACAACCTGGGTGTGGTGAGGGGGGCTGTGGGCGTGGTCAGGGTGGGCCTGCATCCCCACTCCCCTGCTGCCTTGAGGAAGCACTCACAGTGCCTCAGGGTTGTCTCTCTCCACTGGAACCCCTGGTGGACATGCAGGCCCATGTGGGGTGGATGGTGGGACAGAGGCAATTGGTTATAATTTTACATTTCCCTTCCTTTAAAATCTTGCCTTCGAGGATGGCTTTTCTTTTCTTTTTTTTTTTTTTGAGACAGTCTCAAGCTGTCTCCCTGGGTAGAGTGCTGTGGGGTCACAGCTCACAGCAGCCTCAAACTCTTTGGGCTTAAGTGATTCTCTTGCCTCAGCCTCCCAAGTAGCTGGGACTACAGGTGCCTGCCACAATGCCTGGCTATTTTTTGGTTATAATTGTCGTTGTTCTGCAGGCCCGGGCTGGATTCGAACCCACCAGCTCCAGTGTATGTGGCTGGCGCCCTCGCTGCTTGAGCTACAGGCACCGAGCTGAGGATAACTTTTCTAAATTGGATGATTTTGTTTTTTCATTTATTTAAATGTCTGCGATCCAGAGAATTCAAAATGTTATAAAATAGATGAAGTTCAACCATCTGGTGGAAGGGGTGACCTCCTGATGAGCAGGTCTGATGGGGTCTGTCCCCCAGGGGACCTCAAGCAGCTGTGTTGTCATTGCCTGTGGACACAACTCTCCTCAGCCCAGGCTCACTCTCAGACTTGGGTCAAACAGATGCCCTCCAGGTCCACTTGCTCTGCCCTATGTTCTATTTTTCCTTCTGCGTTTTAAAGTTTAGTTTAAGTCTATATTGGCTTTGTTTTTCATATTTAGTGTAGCATTTATTTTAAAAATCCTCTCATAGTATATAAATCTATTTTTTTTTTTTTTTTAGACAGGAGCCTCAAGCTGTCCCCCTGGGGACAGTGCTGTGGCATCACAGCTCACAGCAATCTCCAACTCCTGGGCTCAAGCGAGTCTCCTGCCTCAGCCTCCTGAGGAGCTGGGACCACAGGTGCCCGCCACAATGCCTGGCTATTTTTTGGTTTTAGCTGTCATTGTTATTTGGTGGGCCTGGGCTGGATTCGAACCTGCCACCTTGGGTGTATGTGGCTGGTGCCTTAGCCACTTGAGCCACAGGCGCCAAGCCCACAGTAGAACTTCTGAGAGTTGACCGTTCAAGGGGCTGTAACAAACAGGTCAGCACTTGGAGGTGGGCATGCTGCATGACTGTTCATGAAAACTGGGTCAACTTAAGGGAGGTGGTCAGTATAGGGAGGTGGTCAGCTGTGGGGGGGGGTTCCACTGTGTGTTGAATCATTCATTATTTTACAAAGACAGTATTTTTGGTGCTAATTGGAGTCTAGTTATAGTCACTTATAAAATTTTTTGTTTAAGGGAATCATTTTTTTATCAGTAGCATTAAGTGCATTTATACTGTTGTACCACCAGTACACTGTTTTTTCAAACTTTTTCGTGACACCAAAGTGTAAGTCTGCAAACATAAACAAACTAGGCCAATGGTGCAGGCCTGTAGTCCCACCACTTTGGGAGGCTGAGGCAGGAGGATCACCTGAGTCCAGGAGTTTGAGGCTGTAGTGAGCTGTGATCATCTCACTGTAGTCCAACAGGCAACAGAGCCAGATTGTGTCTCTAAACAAAACAACGCCTTCCCCAGCCCCCTGCACCCCTGTTCCACTTTTTTTTGCTGACTTTGATGATGCTTGACAACCTCATATAAGTGGAGTCACAGTGTTTGTCCTTCTGTAGCCTGTGCCAGAGTTTCCTTTTTAAGGCTGAAAATATTCTATCCTGTACATAGGCCCCATTTTATCGTCCATTCTTCTGTCTAGGGACACTCACGTTCATTACTTGGAGTTGGTTTGATAGTGGTTGAGCTACCTATCCTGGGCACATTCCCTGAGCTGGTCCCAGAGCATCTGTGGCATATGGAGCCCAGGTGGGCCCCTGGGCAGGAGCTGGCATCATAGACTGCCTGTGTGGGTAGGGCCATGGGGCAGGCTGGCCTCCGGGGCAGGGCCAAGTCCTGGAGGGAGGAGCACCTCTGGTCTGGCCAGCACAGCCTGAGAGGTCAGTCCTGGTCCATCTGTTGGAGCCTCTATAGCTGGAATGTGCCCTGTTGAAACCTGGTCTGGGGCTGAATGTGGAATGAGTTTTAGCCTTGGGAAGGCTGGTTTTCACTTTGGATTGCCAAGTGTGTTAGTCACATATGAGCGTCCATTGCTCGTTCCGTAGCTTGTGTGTGGTTTTTTTTTTTTTTTTTTTTTGAGACAGAGCCTCAAGCTGTCCCCCTGGGTAGAGTGCCGTGGCATTACAGCTCACAGCAACCTCCAACTCCTGGGCTCAAGCGAGTCTCCTGCCTCAGCCTCCCAAGTTGCTGGGCCCACAGGTGCCCGCCACAACGCCCGGCTATTTTTTGGTTGCAGCCGTCATTGTTGTTTGGCGGGTCCCGGCTGGGGATTCGAATCCGCCACCTTAGGTGTACATGGCTGGCGCCTTAGCCGGTTGAGCTATAGGTGCCGAGCCAGCTTGTGTGTTTAATGTACTCCTGACAGCCCCCTTTTTATTCTACAGGAAAAGCTACCAGGGTGGGCGGTGAGCCTGGGATCACCAGAGCTGTGATGTCCAGAATTCAGGTGGGGTCCTTGGGAAGGTCAGGCCCAGAACTCAGAGCTGCGCAGACATCCATGGGTGGTGTTTGCTGAGCTCAAAGCATGGCTGCCGGCCTCTGTCCAACCTTCCTTTCACTCACGGGGCATCCCCACTCAGTGCTCATCATTAGTCAGGCCCTGCCCAAGTCCTTGGGTTAATCTTCCTGGACAGGCACTCTGGTTGTCTGCTTTTCCAGATAAGCAGAGGCTGCCTGGGGCCAGCAGTGGGCAGAGCTGAGTGGAGCCCACCCTTCACTACTCCCTTTTGTTCTCTTTGGGAGGAGAAGACATGAGCTGTTGGGATCTGGTGTTTTTGTTTATTTCCAATATTAGGGATATACATGCTATGGGGAACCTTAGAGTGAGAGTGATACCACTGTGCTGGGAGTCCCAGGGCCTTGGTCCTGTGGTGAGAGGCTGCCTGGGACTGCTAGTGCCCTCTGTGCCTGGACAGGTCTGTGAACGGCCACTCATGTTCCTCTTGGACACTCCTGGTGTGCTGTCTCCTCGGATTGAAAGCGTGGAGACAGGCCTGAAGCTGGCCCTGTGTGGTAAGTGCCCTCTGCCCCTCTACCAGGGTTCCACCTGCTGCCTTTGACATGGGACCTGGATGGGGCAGAATTGTTATTGCCTTTGGCCTGGTTGCTGCCAGACACTTCCCAAAGGTCAGTGTGAAAGCTATTGTAGCTCACAGCTGCTGTGTGCTGGTCACTGTTCTGACCCTGCCCATGGAGTAGGGGCCTTCACTCTTTACCGTGTGACTGACAGTGGCAATGAGGACAGATCACAAAGTCATATGCCCGAGACAGGTGCCAGGTGGGAGGAGGGGCCCCAGATGTGGCAGCTTACATTTTCTGGGGAATCTTCTTTTCTTCCTGTGTGGCCTTTCCTCAGGAGCAAAGTTATCTTTGGGCTGAGGCCAGGGGTGTGCACAGATAGCAGGGCTGTCTCCAGGCGCTCACCTCTGCGGCCTTTCCAGGGACAGTGTTGGACCACCTGGTTGGGGAGGAGACCATGGCCGACTACCTGCTTTACACACTCAACAGGCACCAGCTCTTTGCGTGAGTGGCAGTGGGGCCCGGAACCCTCTCTCTTTCAACCTAGACATGTGAAATTTCTTAAAAAAACATGATAAAGGTGTTATAGACAGCTATCTGCACATTATTTAAAATTTGATGTTTGGACTAATTCACAAGTCAAGAAAGTGAATGTTTCTCTCACCCCAAAGTTGCCTGTGCTCCTGTAATTACTCCTTCCTGCCTCCCCTGCAGCCAGGCAGCACCCATTCCTCCCACTGCAGGTGGGTCTGCATTTTCTGAGTTTCGTGTTAGTGCTTCATACAGGAGTGTGCTCCCTGCTTTCACTCCTGTAAGTGTCTGGAGATGTGAGCATGTTGTGATGCATTTCTGCAGTTCCTCCTTTTCACTGCTGAGGGGAGATTCACGCACAGACCTGCCCCAGCTTGTCCGTCCACCTGCTGATGGATGTTTGTGGTTTTCAGCTATTACAAATAAAGCTGCAATGAGCACCTACTTGCAGGTCCTAGAATGCATTTTAATTTCTTGTGAGTGGAGTGGCCAGTCTTACAGTGGGCACTTATTTGACTTTTTATGAAAGTGACACACAGTTTTCTGAAGTAGCTGCACTATTTTACATGCCCACTAGTGGGAGTGAGTTCCTCTGTTTCTCCACACTCACCAACACTTGGTGTCAGTCTTTCGATTTTATCTATTGTTTTAATTTTAAATTATTGTGGGAACATGATAGTTGTCTGTCTTTATAGGGCACACTGATGTTAGATATAGATGCACAGTGTGAATTAATCATATGCGGGTTATTGGCAGGTCCATCCCCTCAGGCATCTATCATCTCTTTGTGTTAGGCACATTCTAGTTCTTCTCTTTTAATTATTTAAAGTATACCCTGGCTCGAAGCCTATAGCTCAACCGGCTAAGGCGCCAGCCACGTACACCTAAGGTGGCGGGTTCGAATCCCCAGCCCGGACCCGCCAAACAACAATGACGGCTG